TTGTAATAAAAGCATTGTTTTTTTACACACAAGCAATTTTTTTGTGCCAGGACAAGAATGTTTATAAATCACTCAAAAATAATCTAAATCATGTGTTTAAAGACATTTATTAACATTAAAAAATATAAGAAGGCAAAATTGGAAATAAAATGCTAAAATCACTTGACACAGGACAAATATCCACATGGACAGTATGTACCAGAGACCAAATCCAGTATTGGGTATTTGTCACAGAGAGACAAAACTTGTTTCCTTTAAAACTGTAAAATCCATTTGCAACATGAATTGAGTTGGCAAAATCAATGCAACACTTACATCAAAATAACATATACTGTATTATTGTCAATTCATACAGGAGAAAGAAAAAGTGTTTAGACACATATACAGAGTCTAGATTCGACTGAAGTTCAGCATGTCATTGCAGTGACATACTGTAACAGTGAGAAGAAGCAAGTGTAGAAACAAATCATACAGGAACACGCAACTTCAAGCAAGCCTTCAAAGCCACACAGAATATAATATCTTGTGTACTGATCATAACATAAATAGTAGATTTTCGGTTCTGGGTTGCCGAGATTACGCAGAATATGGAGACAAATAGCACACCATGTGGTGTGGGAACATTTTAATTGGTGCTGCAGCCTGTCTCTATAACGCTCAGTTGACCATCCAAATGACAGTTAAACATATTGTCTCTATTATTTGAATAGCTACAAAAAAATCACAGCATAGATGTGCTCCCTGCATCCACCGGGAATGTAGTGATTCAGTTGTTCACAGGATTATTATAGTGTTGTTTGAGGAGTGTGGCTGAAAGGTAGTGGTGAGATGCCGAAGCAAGACTACTTCAATATTAAGGCCCTGGATGGTTAAGCTCGGTCGTGTTCATTAGGTACAAAGCGAAGTGAACCAGGGAGGTACTACCTGAGCTTGTCTAATAAGAAACTATTGTTTTAGTTTTCGGTTTTGCTACGGTATGCCATAATGAACATGACAATGGTTACAGAGTTGCTTTTGCCAGACACGTGCAAAGACACACAGGTAGACTTACACGAATACATACTCCCACACACACAATAACAACTATTCAACCATTGTGACCATCATGACCGTTGTGAGAGCATGAAATAAGAAATTATTCTTGTATTGTTACTGTAATCATGGAATGTTAAAACTCAAGAAGAAATCATAATAACAGTCTGCACAAAGTTCACAACGGATCACAGAATCCATTTCAGTACATTTATCAATAAAACATTATTAGAGTGAAATACTGTAAAAGTACTGGCAATAAAATACAATCAGAAAACCTGTACATTTCTAGCCTGGTACCAGATCTGTTTGTGCTCTTGCTTACTCCATTGCGGCCATAGCTTTCATAATTATTTGCCAAGAAAATGAGTCACAAAGAGTTTGCATGATAGCACATACAGACTGGCACTCAGGCTAGTACAGTATGTTTCCTCTGATGCTGGTACTTTGGATAGACGTCATTGTGATGGCACAGACGGATCTTACTTCCTCTCCTTCAGCTAAGTAGAGATAACATTATGGACCAACATCTTATACATCAATGTAAGGCATATTACACTAATTTAAAGGGTTACACAATATTAGTGTACCATGATCTGCAATACTTAATATTGATACTACATTATCTATCTACTGTACCACATACAAGCAAGACAACTATGCAAAGTCACAAAGGTTGGTTTCTAAGGCAAAGGTTAGTCAGAGTTTGAGTCATACTTTCATAACAAATACATAGAAATGGGATAGTCTGAATTGATACCCCCCATCATCTACCCACGCCTGAAAACAAAATGATCTCTGACATTGTCTTTGCAGAAAGAAAACAATGCTGGTTAAACATGGTTAAGTGGTCATCCTTTAACCTTATTCAGGCCCCCACCAGCTTACCAGGGGCTGTGGATGCAAGCCATATGTTTTCCCTTACAGAATGACAGGCACCCTTTGAGAGAGTTTTATTATGTCACAGAGGCCATTAACTTTTGGCCAGCCTGCCCTCTCCTGTTTTGATGGGACATTCACAGGAAGAGTCCCAAAAGGCAGCCTTTTCCCTTTAGTACACTACTTTTAACAAGGGCCCATAGGGCTCTGGTCAAAAGTAGTTCACTATATAGGGAATAGGATGACATTTGGAACAAAGTCATACAGTAGTTTACCAGCCCATCAGCACTGGTTAGTGTCCTCCTGTGTCATGGGACTGGCTGATTTACATAACAGGGTTATTACAGGCTTATCAGTAACATTCAAACTAGACTGATTGTTTTCCAAAGAAGCTAATGTGTGGGGACTGACTGACGCAATCAGGAGCTTAAAGGTTTATTTAGTGTGGTGCAACTGCAATGCTTTATGCTTTAGGGCCATTGGCATTATTTATGCTCTGGTGGATGTGCACTGCACTGTTAGATGTTTTTGTAATTTTATCAGTAACTTACTGTATTAATCAACAACATGATACTGTATAAACTGAATACAGCAGATTACCGTAGAAGGCACAGTAAAATACCATACATTTGTTTTACAGCACACTGTAAGACCTTTCTGTAATTTCAACAGTAAAACATTGTAGAGTGCACAGTAAAATACCATAAATTGTAAGAGGCTATATTTGTTGCACCAATGAGTGAGAATGCTGTACTCCCACAGAATATGGTAATATACTGTATTTTAGGAATTCTACAAACCTTGAACTCTAAACTCTAGAGTAACTTACTGGCCAATTGCTACAAGTAATTTACTGTAATTTATAATACAGTACCAATACCATACTTTTGGAACACTGAAAACCTTTTGAACACTAACAGGTTTGTGGTATTGTTGTTTCTCACTCATGAACATATTTTTAGGCGTGTCTTATAAGCGGCTATATTTGTTGCACCCATTAGTGAGAGTGCTGTACCAACTGAAGTGATAGGTGGTAGTAGTTCCCTAACAATTAAATGTATATAGGGGATAGAGCTGAGTGGCAGCAAGTCTGAAAAACATTAATGGTTGAGTAGCTAGCCATGTCCTTTTCAAATGTTTTGCCCTGTAGTCACTGTCAGTTTACCAATAGATTTCCAATCATTGTGCTAATGCTAGTTAGCATTGGCTCGTGAAACTACCTTTAACATCCTTCATACTGGACACAGAGACATACAAATGGTATCTACGAGTTCATCTGACTCTGGGGAAGTAGATAAACGGCCTCATTGCCAAAATCCCAAAGTATCCCTTTAAGGCCTAAAGTGAAAGTGATCTAAAACACCAAATATCGGTATGCTGTAATATAATATTACATCTTCAATAATAGCAATGCTGATTTTATTTTCGATGCAATTCAACAATAAAGTACTGTATTGCTGTTTTGCTATATATTTACTGCAGCATTCTGTAAATTATGGTGAACTATGGAGAATTATTATGGGAGGAGAAAGAATTGTGGTCCTCTGTAGCGCAATTGGTAGAGCATGGCGCTTGTAACGCCAGGGTAGTGGGTTCGATCCCCGGGACCACCCATACGTAAAAATGTATGCACACATGACTGTAAGTCGCTTTGGATAAAAGCGTCTGCTAAATGGCATATTATTATTATATTATTAATTGTTGGCTCATTAACATATTTTAAGGCGTGCCTTATAAGTGGCTATACTTGTTGCACCTGTTAGTGAGAGTCCTGTACCAATTTAAGTGACATTGCGTAGTAGTTCCCTAAAAATGTTATGCATAAAGGTAACAGATCAGATTGGTAGTGGGTCTTAAACCTTTTAATGGTTGACTATTTATCCATGTCCGTTTGATCTGTTTTGCCCTGTAATCAGTTTGGCCAGTTTGGAAGCCTTTGTTTAGGCCTCTAGAAGTGATATAAAACACGTATTATTCATTCAAATGCTGTAATTTGCAAATGCCTACAGTCTACTGCTTGCTCTAATCCCTTGTAATTACAGTAAGATACTGTATAAATATTTTTGTTACAGTTTAATAGGTCACTTTTACTGTATTGTTCTGTGTTTCATTGTTCAGGAATCAAATTACCGTAAATATCTCAGTATTGTATTGGCACAATCCAGAGATAGTCAGAAAAAAAAAAAAAAGATTTGATTTGATATATCATGAGATATCTTGTTGTAATTACAATTATTTTGAAGACCAATGCATCCTTAACTATAACAACATTTTCAGTAACGGTTAAAGAAATGTTTTACTTGCTATGACTGTGATAAGTTGCTTAGGCCAAGAGTGCCTGCTAAATTACCAAAATGTAAATCTAAAAATGAAAACTTGCAAAGAACACTGGGTAATATGTCGCTGCATGGGTAATTCTAGTAATATACTGTAAATTGGATTACAGTAACATTTTTGGTACCGTAAAATGAATTACCGTAAAATGGATTACAGTAGCTGTACTGTAAAATAAATTCCAGTAACTTACTGGCCAATTGCTGCCAGTAAGTTGATGTACATTTTAAAGGAAATATTTTACAGTGTAAACATTACAAAGTGGGGAACCCCCAGTTCAAACCCAGCTGGTCTTTAGTCTGCATAACATCAGATAACAATCTGAAAGAACACCAGTCTCTGCTGAGGAGTCTTAGAATGAGCTCTTATTTATTCATGACTGATTGAACTAAACTAAAAGCTTTGTTTTTGGGTCACAAATTATTTGTTGCATTTTTCCTCATGGTGCTCTTTGGTCTTAGTTGTATCTGATGAAGAGAGTGGACCAATGATTCTGATCCTACCAAAATGGCACATGTTTAAAGGAGAGTAAGAATCAGTCCCAAATGGCACCCTATTCCCTATATAGTAAACCACTTTTGACCAGAGCCCTATGAGCCCTAGGGTAACATTTTGGAATCAACCTGAAGTACAAGGAAACTTGGGGAGTGGGGCTGGGCTGGCTTTAAGCCAAATAGTGTACCGGTATTAACGTCATATTTCTCTCTATAAAAGAATACAAATAAAAAAGCAAAGAGAATTCAGCTGTCCTGCTACTATAATATAGTGCATGGCTTCTTGTCTTTGAAGGGGTTTTCAGAGGCTGGGATACCCATGAGTTGAGGGTCGTATTTAGCGTGTTCTCCACAGTAGTGCATCAGGTCTGCTGAGGCCTTGGACACCTGCAGAAGGGAATCATACAGCAGGTTACTATTGGCAACACAAGGAAACACACACACAGAGAGAGAGGTCAGAGAAGGCAGTTCTTGCTAGCCTGGCTGACGCAACCCACGCAACTACACAGGAGGACTTTGAGAGCTGGTGTCGGCCAGACTAAGTTCTTGCAGGATGGAAAATGTAATGTCATATACGTATATCTTGGTATATATGGGTTATGTTTGAGAAGCGTACCTTAATTCTCTCAATACTGGCCTCTATTCTCAGCTGCTGGACTGCCCTCCTGGCATGGGCAGTGTTATTGGAACTCTGCATCTTCGAAGACATGTTGGTCTCCACACACCTCTTAAAACACACATACTGGATTCAGTCTTCACCTAGTGTGGTAACACCATGGAAAAGAATGAATGAACTGACTGAATTAATTAATATCTAATAGTTATTGGATATACCTTCAACAATTTGGGATAAGCGGCAGTTTGTGAGTGGCTTTATCTGGAAAAACAAAAGAAACGCACAATAAGCCATAATTAAATCACCATTTGTACATTGATATAGGGCAGCATGAAAGATACCCCACTTACATCAGCTGGCCCTTCTTACGTCTTTGCACAGCAGATGGTGTGTTGGAGAGTTACCCAATATGGTTAAGTGTCAGGAACATAACTTTGACAAGCTGCCAAACACAATATACAAACAGGCCAAGGCTAGTAGCAGCTGTTACTCCACGGTCCTTCTCCAGAGTAACTTCCCAAAAGTGACAGTCGGAAGGTAATCTGCAATTTACTCAACCAACAACCTGCAAACAAGCTAGCGCACATAATCACATAAAGATTGGCCAAGATGGAAACTGTTGTACAATCCCACACATCATGGGAAGTCTGCGTTGGTCCATAGCAATAAAGACATTGCCTGAGAGGATAGTCTGCTATAGGGGGTCTGTATGTATTAAGAAAGAGATTGCCTGAGGTGTTGGGACTGTTCAAAGGAGAGCACCCGGTCTGTCAGGTTTCTCTCTCACCTTGGAACCTGTGGATTCAGATTGACTGAGTGGGAATCCTTGTCTGGGTCAGAGTTATTGGGGCAAGATGTAGCCTACTTGCTGTATTCTACTATCTCAGCCTGGTCTCATGGACTAGACATAACACAGTAAACGTAAAACCAAAACACTCAAATTAGTATGATATGTTACGTTTGGTATGGTTAGATAAGACAGAAGGTTACTTAACCATCTAGAGTCTAAGCCCTGTCTAAGCCAGGGGAGATTCACTACATGGAACAACAGATAGTCCCCCAAAAAATCAAAAGGAAGTTTGTTCTGAAGTCTCTGTCCTATATCTGAGAGATATAAGAAAGATCAGGATTTTTTCATATGTATTTATCCCCTTATTTTAGGAACTAAACCATATACTGTATACTTTCATTATTTTAACTGGTACGGGGACCTTCAGAGGAGTCTTGTGAGGCTTGTGGACTCAGCCTTCAGCAGAGTGGTCATAATATTGTTTCGGCCAAACCGTTGGGACGCTACAGACGTTTTCATGAGAATACCACATTTCGGGATGTCTCATGGTCTGACAAACACGCTCTAGCTCTACCACCTTTCACCGCAGATGCAGAAGGGCGATATCGGCAAATGGGTGGATTGAGACACAGCCCATGTAAAACACCACATATCTCTAGCTTAAACAAACAGATTTTTATGGGGATTTTTGTATTACGTTAATTAGATTTCCGCGGGGGCGCAACCATTGTAAGCCAAGGGTTAAGGCAAAAACGAAAGTTGGGTGGTTGGTCGGGGTGGATGGGTGGACGTACAGTATAACGCGAACATCTAGCAACCCAATGGTTGCGTGTTCAAATCTCAATCTTTTGAATTTTAGCTAATTAGCCACTTTGCAACTACTTACTACTTGTTAGCTGCTTTTCAACTACTTAGCATGTTAGCTAACCCTTCCCCTAACCCTTTAACCTAACTTCTAACCTTATCCCCTAACCTCTAGTCTAGCTAACGTTAGCCACCTAGCTAATGTTAGCGTTAGCCACCTAGCCACTTAGCTAACAACAAATTGGAATTCATAAAATATCATGCATTTTGCAAATTCGTAACATTGTACGAATTGCAATTCGTAACATAAGAAATGGATGATGGACAGCTACAAATTAATACATACCATACGAAACGGTGTACCGGATTTAAGTTTACTATGTTATGTCTACCCCTGAGATCAGGTTGACTACATTACTGAAAAAGACATCCAGTATCTCTAGGTCAACAGTACAGTACATGAATGAGTCTGGCAAGGTAGACTAGCTCAGCAGCTGTGTTTAGGTCAGGGAAAAGAACAACACATGTTTTACGTTATAACAACAATACCGTTGCACGTGCACACAGTGCAGTTCATTTGAGGAAAAGCCTCAACGATAACCTTTGTGTTGATGTCATCAAACTGTGATTCCACTTCTATTACAATGGCTGAGAGGTTTATGGAGGAGGACGCATGTAAGGAAGCGGAAACAATGAAGTCATCGGTAGCCAGCCACAGAACAGCTGAGTACAAAGTGGATGGAGAGACCTCCATCGGAAGCATACATCTCACTAACCACCCCACCAACCCACTCCTTTCCTTCCTCCCTCCTCCATTCACAGGAAGCTGTATCCCAGACAGCCAGTTCAGTTTCCCTCTGAAGTATAAATTCTTAAATATGTTCCGGTTTTAAAAATAGAGCAGAGCGGAAGAAGAAAGAGCTGCAGAGGTGGTTACTCACACACACCGACAGGAACATAAAGCTTAAGACCACGGGGAGTGAGTATAGGAATAGCAACAAAGGATCCTGATAAGCTTTCCTTAAATGTATACATTTTCCAATGCTCTTAGACACATCAAGACCCCTTCACCCTCTGCCTTAGAGCTTTTTGTGTGCTTGGCTTGGGCAGACACTGGAGGGATTTAATGTGCATATAGTAGCAGTCAAAAGTTTGGACACACCTACTCATTCAAGGGTTTTTCTATATTTTTACTATTTTCTGCATTGTAGAATAATAGTGAAGACATCAAAACTATGAAATAACACATATGGAATCATGTAGTAACCAAAGAAGTGTTAAACAAATCAAAATATATTTTATATTTGAGATTCTTCAAAGTAGCCACCCTTTGCCTTTATGACAGCTTTGCACACTACATGTACTGGTGCATCAAAGCTGGGACCAAGAGACTGAGAAACAGCTTAAATCTCCAGGCCATCAGACTTTTAGTCACCGCTAGCCGGCCTCGGCCCAGTACCCTGCCCTGAACCTTAGTCACTGTTCTAGCCAGCTACCACCAGGTACTCTACCCTGCACCTTAGAGACTACTACCCATTGAAGTCATTGAACACTGGTCACGTTAATAATCCTATATACACTGAACAAAAATATAAACGCAACATGTAAAGTGTTGGTCCCATGTTTCATGAGATTAAATAAAAGATCCCAGAAATGTTCCATATGCACAAAAAGCTTATTTCTCTCAAATGTTGTGCACAAATTTGTTTGCATCCCTGTTAGTGAGCATTTCTCCTTTGCCAAGATAATCCATCCACCTGACAAGTGTGGCATGTCAAGAAGCTGATTAAACAGCAAGATCATTACACAGGTGCACCTTGTGCTGGGGACAATAAAAGGCCACTAAAATGTGCAGTTTTGTCACACACCACAATGCCACAAATGTCTCAAGTTTTGAGAGAGCGTGCAATTGGCATGCTGACTGCAGGAATGCCCACCAGAGCTGTTGCCAGATAATTTAATGTTCATTTCTCTACCATAAGCCGCCTCCAACGTCATTCTAGAGAATTTGGCAGTACGTCCAACCGGCCTCACAACCGCAGACCACATGTATGGTGTCTTGTGGGTGAGCGGTTTGCAGATGCCATAGCCCCATGGTGGCGGTGGGGTTATGGTATGAGCAGGCATAAGTTACAGACAAAGAACCCAATAACATTTTATCGATGGCAATTTGAATGCACAAAAATACCGTGACGAGATCCTGAGACCCATTGTGAGGCCCATTTTTAAAAAATGATCTGTGACCAACAGATGCATATCTGTATTCCCAGTCATAAGAAATCGATAGATTAGGGACTAATGAATGTATTTCATTTGACTGATTTCCTCATATGAACTGTAACTCAGTAAAATCAATGAAATTGTTGCATGTTGCGTTTATATTTTTGTTCGGTGTAACTACTGCTGTACACACCTTTTCTATTCATATACTGTCCATACTGTCTTTACACACCATTATATGTACACTACATGAACAAAAGTATGTGGACACTGCTCGGTGAATATCTCATTCCATAATCATGAGCACCAATATGGAGTTGGGCCCCCCTTTGCTGCTATAACACCCTCCACTATTCTGAGAAGGCTTTCCACTAGATGTTGGAACATTGCTGCGGGGACTTGCTTCCATTCAGCCACAAGAGCATTAGTGAGGTCGGGCACTCCAATTAGTGAGGTCGGCGTTCCAATTCATCCCAAAGGTGTTCGATGGGGTTGAGGTCAGGGCTCTGTGCAGGCCAGTCACGTTCTTCCACACCGATCTCGACAAACCATTTCTGTATGCACCTCGCTTTGTGAACGGGGGAATTGTCATGCTGAAACAGGAAAGGGCCTTCCCCAAACTGTTGCCACACATTTGGAAGCACAGAATCGTCTAGCTTGTCATTGTATGCTGTAGCGTTCAGCTTTCCCTTCACTGGAACTAAGGGGCCTAGCTCGAACTATGAAAAACAGCCCCAGACCATTATTCCTCCTCCACCAAACTTTACAGTTGGCACTATGCATTTGTGCAGGTAGCATTCTCCTGGCATCGGCCAAACCGAGATTCGTCCGTTGGACTGCCAGATGGTGAAGCGTGATTCATCACTCCAGAGAACACGTTTCCACTACTCCAGAGTCCAATGGCGGTGAGCTTTACACCACTCCAGCCAATGCTTTGTATTGCGCATGGTGATCTTAGGCTTGTGTGCGGCTGCTCGGCCATGGAAACCCATTTCATGAAGCTTCTGAAGAACAGTTATTGTGCTGATGTTGCTTCTAGAGGCAGTTTGGAACTCGATAGTGAGTGTTGCAACCGGGGACAGACAATTTGCGTGGGCCTACCACTTTGCGGCTGAGCTGTTGTTGCTCCTAGACGTTTCCACTTCACAATAACAGCACTTACAGTTGACCGGGGCAGCTCTAGCAGGGCAGAAATGTGACGAACTGACTTGTTGGAAAGGTGGCATCCTATGACGGTGCCACGTTGAAAGTCACTGAGCTCTTCAGTAAGGCCATTCTCCTGCTAATGTTTGTC